AAAGTGACAAAAAGTCGAGAGGGGAGACAGAATAATTATTCACAGATGTAAAAGAGGCAGACAGGCAAACAGACACAAAGGTAGAGGAAAGGTAGGATGAGTACTGTGAAAATGGTCGAGTATGACATACAGTGGATAATAGTACTTGTGTCATTAGGATGTAAGCCCGTTGTAAAGGTAGAAATAAAATAGTTTAAATTACTATCAATTGATAGCATAAACTTGGCTTTAAAATTTTAAAAGTAGGCGAATCTTGACGCCTACAATTTTAAATTTAAATATTTTGTTGATTTAAACTTTTTTATCAATTCTTGGGCTTTGTATTGATGTCATTGTGACCAGAACTATCACACATATAAAATATTATTCAAAGCACATTTGATTGATGAATGTTGATAATAATGTTCTCTAGAAAGTTTTGTAAAATTGAAGTAGACATATTCTAAAAAGTATTTATGTTAATTTAAAAATTCGATATCCACACCTACGTTTAATTGGATTTAAGTTGGTTGTTTGGCTACGTCTCCTTTAAGCCTCAGCTTCCTTAGTGGAAATTAATATTTATTTATATCAAATGGCAGGCATTTTGATAATTATCACTAGTCCTTTAGTTGACTTCGGGCTTCACAGATGGGAGGAGGAATATCGAAGGGAAAAAGTCGAGAGTGGGGGTGGGGTGGGAGGAACAGAAGAGTGTTTCAAAGACGAAGGTAGAAAGGTATAAAAGAGGTGAGGTGAGTACTGTGAAGTAGTCGAATATGACATACAGTGGGATCATGGCAGTTTGAAGTCAGAAGTCAACTCCCGGTTTGATAAACTTTTTTGCCGTATGAATATACGTTGCCCAGGGTGCACCGCGTGGAGGTAAGTCTATCGCACACCCCAAAGAAGGGATGCCCAAAGGCTCCCCACTGGCAAAAACTACGCACCCGAGCGAACCCAATTAGAGTCTGTCGCAGGCTTCAACACAGCGGAGTGCAATGCTGAGCCTCCACCTGGGGCCAGAGCCTTGCTGATCGCCCTGAACCCGGCGCCAGGTAAGTTTACATCGATCAATAAAGACTGGACAGAAGGAATTCAGGGAACGATTAGTAAAAGCAAGATTTTGGAACGGAAACAGTTCTGAAAATAGGGTGATTTATTTAAATTTCTAATAGCCGATTTCAGCCGCCTTTCACTATTAAAAAATAGCATTTATTATATTTCTATGGATAATTTTAATAGATGGATAGGCTCATATAGAATATCGTTATTTGTTTGGAAAGGCATTCGTCTTGAGAAATTTGAGATAAAAAATTTCACTCAATATCGACCAAATTAGATCCAATTCATGGAGTATTGAACATTGAAACTACGCATTATTCTATACTATCGTTCATGAAAATCAGTTGATCGACTTGGAAATAAATTATCGAAAATGAACTTTCCATGTATTCTGATAGTGCTTAAGGCACATAGAAACAGATAATAACAAGTTGTAGTTACATACTTCACTTTCATGTTATTGTAAAGTTGAAAGATCAAATACGTTGATAAAATGGACAAATGTATCAGATTAGACGTAGCTATTTTAAATTAAAAATCGGTGACAAACCAAAAAGCCTCCCTCTACCCATGAACCCATTAGCAGACACTGATGTAGTGTGTTGCACCCAACTGCTCGACTTCTTCAGGAAATCAAACACCCCTCCAAAACAAATGCGCTCACTGGCCCTTGAGACAATCAATGTCAACTATCCTGTAGATCAATGACTCCAAGTCTTCACTGATGGGTCTTACATAGAAAATCAACCAAACATAGGTACAGGTGTCTTTTCTGAACTCTTCTCTTTCTACGCAGCAGCAGGACACAATAGATCCTCTTTCGAAGGAGAAGTAGAAGTCATTAGGATAGCAGTAAGCCAATTATGTTGTCTGGATACAAACTTCACCGAAGCGGTGATATTTTCGGACTCACCGTCAGCAATAAACTCAATTGGAAGCAGAGAGCCACCCAAAAGCTGCAATAAACTCAATTGGAAGCAGAGAGCCACCCAAAACAGATTTAATATACGAATGTAAAAAAACTCTATCAGCTGCTGAGAGAGAAAAACAAAACAGTGGTTCTAAAATGGATTCCTGTTCACTGTGTCATTAAAGGCAATGAGCTTACTGACGCACTTGTTAAGAAGGAAACAACAATTTTGCAAGGCATAGACCAGCCGATGTCTTTCTACACAATGAAGACCTTAATCAGGAGAGAATTCAAGGCATCAAGGTGCAACGAACTTAAAGCTCGAACAAAGGAGAAACAGTGGACAGTGGCACTCTCCGACATAGCCGACTGGCCAAGAATCGAAGCCGTTGCTGGGTTTAGACTACGTACCGGACACGATTGCTTGGCAAAGCACCTTCACAGATTGGGAGTATACACTCAACCCACATGCCCCCTATGTAACCTACAGGAGGAAATGGAGAAGACCCACCTGATTCGGTGTCCAGCTCTAAAGACAACGACGGAAACCCAGAGATACTGGGAAGCCAGAAGACAGCTAATGAACTGCTATTAATTAACTGCTATATATGTACCCCCACCCATGCGGAAAGCTAAAGTCAAAGTTTAAGTGCTAATGATAAATATCATAAAGTCTGCCATTTGAAATAATAATAATAATTTTAAATAAGAATTATTATAATAAAGATGAGATAGAAAGCAAGTAGTTTACTGAGTGCCATAGGAGACTACCTAAAACCAGCCAAATTAAACCAAATTACCTTCCATTTCTTCAGTGCGCAATTTCAAATGCACGAATATATATTATTATCAGATTTGAATAATAAAAATGAAAAATTTCTAACCGCCACATTTTTGATTGTCCATTCAAGTATTGACTTTGGATATCCACACTCTGTTTGGCAGAGAAGATGTAATTGGATACCAGATTGAAGAACGTAAGGGTTGGTTCGAGTCCCTAAGCCATGACCTGGGGAGTTTGGATTTAGTTCCACTAGATTGCTTGCGCCACTAAGAGAATCGGAACTTCGATTTGTCGTAGGGGATCCCTTGCTAGGTAGTGTGATATTTGTTACTTGGATTGGAGCCAACTTGGGAGGTACTGCAGAATAATAAAACAACTGAAATGTCTATATTATAGGACACTTGAATAATTGAAACTAGGCAAAGCTAACTACACCATGAAAGCATTCTCGTCAACGCACGGACTTACATAGACACAGACTATGGGCCAATGAGTAGCTAGCATGCCGACATATATTCAATGGCAAGATGGCCAATTCCTCCCCCCTACGAGCCTCTTTTTTGCTCTGTCACAGATCTTACAGACTTTAAACCCTCTCAACTTGGCTTACTTAACACATTAGATGTTCCTTTGCAAAGCTTTCCTTTGGCCGGGTCTCCAAAATATCGATTATATTTGCTATTATGCTATTTGTATTGTAGATTAAAACGTTTAAATATCATATATATGCCTTTCTTAGGAGAAATATTTTACTTCTGAATCGTCCCCCATGGGCGTTTATTCGGATGGGCGGTTATTTGGTTCCAAACAATTGTTTCATTAAATTGACTTTCCTCTTAATCGCCCTGGGAGGATTTTCGGAAAACCCCAGTATTTTAGTATCTTATACATTTATAAATTAATTTTTCAGTGATCACTGATACTTCTGTCTAAACTGCTTAACCAACCATTCGTTTAATTTGATTAAACAGGAATCACGGTATATCGCAGAAGCCAAATCACTCAGAAACTCAAGAAACAAAGCCTGATTATGGAGCTCTGGGCCACCTCTTTACTCCAGAGAAAATTCGATTATTCTACCTTCATTGAGTACTCTTAGTCGACTTTAATTCATCTATCACTGGAAGTCCGCTTTTTCGATATCTTATGCTCAATCCCATTAGTGGAAATGGTAAAAGATGATTTTCAGAGTTTAGTTTACTTATGTGATTTCGAATCTAATTCTTCTATTAACGATTAAGCATGATTGATTGAGGAAGGCGTCATGAAGATGTCATTAAGTGACGATAGTTAATTACTCAATCAGTTTTTACCAACATTGCTATTGTCTGACCACTACCTACCATTAAGGAAATGTTGGAAATTTTGGGGAATTATTTCCATAATATCCCATAAGTTATGATTCGTATTGAAAATTTCGCATATATCTGTTAAACTCATGAACTTGATACGAGGATTAAATTTTCATTGCCTCACTTCCAATACTTGAAAGAAAAGATATTGCAGCCTTCTATCGACTTTGGATGGCATTGCGCAAGTAAGCTGCTTGTATTTAACATAAGATTTCTATGTTTGCCGTCTAAATCACTATCTGAAATTTGTATTGACTAATGCATTAATTTATGAGATATTGGCTCGGGAATAGTTTTTGAGTGACTATAAGGTGGAAAGATAATACAATAGGTCTATGAGGGCTTAAATATAGGTGGCAACTATGATGACCTGGCAGTAGAAAATAACTACGCTATTTTTCTCTCTTTCTCTCTGACTCACGCTCAACGACATGCAAGGTACTAAAATGTACACCCCATTAAAGGAATACAAAGGACAAGCTCAACATGACCTAACTAACAATAATTTTACGTGGGACAGACAGGCATCGCACACGTGTAAGACCAACTTAACCACTTTGCTCGCATACAACTGCCTGTCTGTCTCACACTTCTCGTGACGCAGTCAAAGGCTTCTTACTGGCTAGAGTGATGCGATTGCTCAGATTGGCCAAGTTTTTGTTGGACTGAGTGGATTTACTGGAATACCTCTGTATGGAGCCATGACACATAGAAAAGGTGTTTGACTACTTTACTCTAAGATAAGACAGATTAAGGACATCCAATGTAAAAGTGAGGGAGATATTCGTAGCTCCTTTTTGCTATAATGCTAGGTGCTATTCTAGCGCCTATTTGACATTAAAGAGCCAATCAACCACGAAGTCTGAAATTACAGTCTGAAATGATGACTTAATAGGAAGTTGTAGTGACCAAGATAGATTTTAGCAAGTAAATGGAAAGGTTTTAATAAAACTGTGAAATTTTGACTATGTTTTAATGTCGTAAAGAGAAAAAATTGCTTTAAACTGTTAATATTTTCCTAAACAAGCGAAGTGGTTCCAAAGACTTTCATCATAATGGTTTTATATAATTACAAAAACACAAATTTAAAGCCATTAATTTTCGTAAAATTTTGGTCTTTTTTAAAGTCAATATCTTTAGAACGCGAAGAAACTATAATACTTTTATAGGGAAGAATAATGTGAAGCATTGAACAAAACTCCAGTACACATTACAGCAAATCTTATCAACATTCACCATAAGACACACTCGAGAAACTTGTATTCGACCAAATCTCATTTTTGTCAAAATTGTTCAATGTCTCCGATGAGCACAGATCCCGTAAACTTTGATTCTGCAAACGGTTTGGATTTGCATGTTGGAAAAAAGGGAAAATTATTGATGCTCTACACATACTGTCGTAGATCATTCCGCAAATTAAATTTCGAGCCAATGACTACACACTTGAAATAAATTATTGTAGACATCTAAATAATATGTTTTATAAAATTTCACGCATACAAGTTATCCTCCTTGTACATCTAGTTAATAGCATGACAACCACAAAATGTGCAACAAGGCGTTCAGGAAGTAGTTCCAGAACAAATTTCATAAGATTAAGGTGCACAAAAGTAAGCGTTTTATGCAACACAAATTAGCTTTTCTGTACAGTACTAGACTATAAATAACAAAGATTTTCTTGCTCATAAAGGTTTCCCGTTTGAAATTCTAATAAGACCAAAAAATGTGAGTTTCCCCATTCGCTTGTTATGCTCATTTATTTTTACAGGTAAATATGAAGTTTAAGGTCTGAATACTGGATAAGCACTAGTTTTATTTAAATTATCTAAGCAGGTCAAAATGCTATTTCCTAAGTTTTACTAAGTTACACTTAGATAAATGTGGACAAAACATGGAAAATTCGAAAATGATTAAAAGTAATACATCATTAACATACCATAAACTTCAAGGAAAATATCTGAGCTAGACGCAGATAAGAGACAAGTCCACTTTCCTCTATCAGTCCAGCTGACAGATTTGATGCGAAAGAGGAAATTGCGAGTTTTGCCATTAGAGCTGTGACCATCTGGATCACAAATAACTTCGTATTTGTTTTTATGATAAACTATACAATTCTCCGATAACATTGCGCCATTTCGGAGGAATATAACTGAAAGATTAGTTTGATTGACGAAGCGGGAACTGACAGAGCAACGGAGATTTACAGACTGCCCGACAACGACGGGCGAATCACCAGCAATGTTAGACAGTGTAATTTCTGACAGCGAAAAGGCTTAAAATCCAAAACAATTTCAAAAAGCAAATATAAAACATGTTAAAAACAAAGTAAAGTTGGCGTTAAAATTGACAACACTTGAGAAATTTTAATAAATGTGGTTAACTGCGATTTTAAAAATAATATTATCAAGAATAAACTTATAGCATCGAATATAATATAATTTATATTTTGTAACAAAGATTACTGCTCCTACCAAGATTTACAAATAAACATAAAATATGCCATCGATTGGTATTCATCATCGCGATATTACGCTTCTGAATATGCGCTATTTATTGTCCTTGGATAGGCCGAGATGTTTGTTTAAAATAATTTAAAAAAACTCATTTAACGAAAATAGACAAACGTTGTTAAATCTCTTAAACAATAAAACTGAATTTTAATATCATTTATCACATGTATAATTGATGTGTCTTTTGGCAAAAACAAAGCTTTATTTTTACTAAGGAAAATAAACATTTGCTCCATTTACTAAGAATTAATTAATTCTAGAATTTTTATTTTAAATGAGCCTATTTAAGGTCCAGTTTAATGCTGTTTTCAGTTCAATACCTTGTGGTTGAAGCTACGCATTTTTTACAATTAAATAAATTGACGAAGCCTGCTTAACAAAATCTGTCTATGAATTTTATGCTAATTATTTCCCTCCCCCTACCATTGCTCGCCCTATGAAAGTTTGTAGTTATATGAAATGGACAAAGAGGAAATTTTTTAGCCCTAATTCCGCAAGCCAGCTTAGACATTTCGCCTTTTCTTTCAATTTGATAATTTTTGTCAATCGATCAGATTTACTATAAAAGATGCTTAAGAAATTTTTGCAAACGTTCAATCAATTGATACTTAAATGGATGTGATGTCAATATTACAAAGAAAAGTTGCTCAATTATGTACTCTTAATATTACGATATTAATTAAAATTCTTCGTTTTGAACACGATGTATTTTTTCTAAGAATTATTAATAATATCCATATTTAAAGAAATATGCTTGTGCCAACATTATCCAACATTTTTAGTAGATATCTTTTATTTCAAATTAGACCTTTAAGTTTGTTCAGATTTATCGAATGTAGCTAGCATCAACTAAGGTAAAGTTTGCGGGCATTCACACGTAGATTCTTGCTCGACAAAGATTACCAGAAGCTAACGGCATGTAATATTTTTTAATAATAAACTAGCAATAATAATCGTTTACATTAACGTTTAAAAATGTTTTCGTCCGAAAAATATTGATCATTTCCATTTTTCAACGTCACTATGAAGTATCGGTTTTAATAAGCACGATTTAACCACGCTGACGATTCCTGAAATAAATAATGCTTTGTCTATTTTTTCAGTGAAAATGCCAGCAAAATTGAATAAAGGTAAAGATAGTAAGAAGCGCAAGGTCAAATTCAAAGATACCAAAAGTTCGAAGAAGAAGAAGAATGACTCAAAGAAAACCTTATATAATCTCGATCGTGAAGCTGCTCGATCAAAAGCTCTCGAGACACGTCTTTATTTTCAACTTGCCGATTTGAATAGGAAAAATTTTGAACTGCAGCAGGCCCGTGGACTGCAGGTCACGCTTGAGAATGCTCTCATAAGCTTTAAGGAAACGGCGAAAGAAGATTCTGCTTTTACCACGTTGCAGCATGAGTATACAGTTGAGCGTTTAACGGACAGAGTTTCTGAGCTTACGATTGCAAATACTAAACTTAAAGAGGACAAAAATTGTCTTCAGTTAAAATTAGAAGCTTTGATAGAAGATTTAAATGCTGCTTTAGCCGCTAAAGAGGCGGAAATTGAGAAGCTCAACGTTTTTATTAAGGAATCTCATTACAAGTATGAAAGAGTAATTGGTCTCTTTGCTGATCGATTAGTCGAGAGGCTGACTGAAAGTTGGGAATCGGATAACCCAATTTTTCAAGAGATTGAATCTCTGCATAATAAACTATTATACACATTTAACGCATAATCTGCATTAGAAGTACTTTATCGAAAAATTGCAATTATGTCATTTAATTTTTTAATAGATTTATTAAAACTATATAACAAATCTCTGACTTTTTAAAATAATACCAGTTCATTTCCATAACTAGTTCAAACTTGGCATACAAATTATTTGATCAGCCACATTATTACAAAATTGAGGTCAAATGAATATTAATTTTTGTTACGTCGGTTAAGATTTCAAGTATTGTCCTGAATAACTTAGTATTTCTATCTAAAGGTAATCCATTTGAAAATTACTCAGATTGAAAGGCAATGATGAAAAAGTATTGACTGAAGATTAAGCACATTTGCCCAAATCTTTTCGATCTATTAAAATTACCAAATTGAATTGAAATCTCTTCCTTAAAAGTGCTAACAGCATTTGTGGACTTGTACTGATCAATGGAATCTTATGCAGGCTAGAAGATTATGGAAGGTGAGACTCTGCCACTGAACACGTTGCCAGTCAGTGTGGTCGTATGTACAGAACCTTCTCAACCAATCAACAATCAATAATTTTTGCAATATAGCCTAGTATTGATTGAAGTTACGGGCTAGGTTTTGTGATAAACCGCCATTTGTGCAATAAATGCTTTCCATTCTACACGTTATTAGTTCTTGATATTGTTGGGGCAGAAATTAAGAAAAAAGCCGTTTTGGGCAAGAAAGATGAAACTTGAGAGTTTTTTAGTTTAAGGAAAATTTTCGGTTTAACAGACACCAGGAAGAAAGAAGCCCAATGCCAAAACTGATACAATTGGTCTGGGAGTCAGGAAAGGTAAGCAACGTGATATCATCATCTGTCATAATGGTAAAGATAATATGACAATAGCGTAGAAGTGCAAGAATTTTAAACTGATTGAATTTATCAACGCTAACCTTATTATAACTCATGTCATGTGAAGAAGGTGGACTGTTTTAGTCTGTTTATATTCTGCTCTGCATTTACCGTGTTGACTCTTACGACGGAAAACAAAGATCTGTTTTTCTAGCAAAATTTGTAAATGTTCCTGTTATATCCAACGTATCTGAATATATAGCATTTTATGTGCTATTAGTTCAGTCAGTCAGTCATGTAATATTCGTATAGTCGCGTGGGAAATTTCGGTTCCATCTACGGTGGATCACTTCGTTTTCTATTTAAAGCGAAGCATCACGATACATTTGTGCTAGCCGGGCCATTAACACACACGCATATGTAATTCGTTCTTCACGTGTGTATTTGAAAGTCCGTTCTCTGGGCTATCAGCTTAGAAGGGATCATTATACTGTTAACAGAAAAGATCACCAAGAACTTTCAGACCAAACAGAGTGATTTATTAAATTGAGATTGAAAGCCTATAAATTTATTTATTTATTTCAAATGGCAGGCTTTGTGATATTTATCATTAGCCCTTAAACTTTGACTTCAGCTTCCCCAAGGGTGGGGGGGGGTACATTTATAGCTGTTAATTAATAGCAGTTCATTAGCCGTCTTCTTGCTTCCCAGCATCTCTGGCTTTCCGTCGTTGCCTTTAGGGCTGGACACCGAATCAGGTGGATCTTCTCCATTTCCTCCTGTAGGTTACATAGGGGGCATGTGGGTTGAGTGTATACTCCCAATCTGTGAAGGTGTTTTGCCAAGCAATCGTGTCCGGTACGTAGTCTAAACTCAGCAACGACTTCGATTCTTGGCCAGTCGGCTATGTCGGAGAGTGCCACTGTCCACTGTTTCCCCTTTCTTCGAGGTTTAATTCCGTTGCACCTTGAGGTCTGGAATTCTCTCCTGATTAAGGTCTTCATTGTGTGGAAAGACATCGGTCGGTCCATGCATTGCAAAATCGTTGTCCACTTCTTAGCAAGTGTGTCAGCAAGCTCATTACCTTTAATGCCACAGTGCCCAGGATTCCATTGTAAGACCACTATTTTGTCTTTCTCTTTCAGCTGCTAACAGAGTTTTCTACATTCGTTTATCTCAGCTGTTTTGGTGTCTCTCTGTTTTTAATTGAGTTTATTGCTGACGTTTTTTTCTCTCTGTTTCCAATTGAGTTTATTGCTGAATTTTTTTGGTGTCTCTCTGTTTTTAATTGAGTTTATTGCTGACGGTGAGTCCGAAAGTATCACCGCTTTAGTGAATTTCGTATCCAGGCAACAGAATTAGCATAGTGATATCCCAATGGCCTTCATTTCTATTTCGAAAGCGGATCTATTGTGTCCTGGTGCTGCGTAGAAAGAGAAGAGTTTTGAATAGACACCTGCACCAACGTTTACTTAGTTTTCTATGTATGACCCCTTAGTGAATATTTGGAGCCATTGATCACCAGGGTAGTTGACATTGATTGTCTCAAGGGCCAGTGAGCACATTTGTTATGGAAGGGTGTTTGATTTCCTAAAGAGGTCAAGCAGTTGAGTGCAACACACTACATCAGTGTCTGCTAATGGGTTCATGGGTGGAGAGAGGCATTTTGGTTTGCCATCGATTAGTAATGCATCCTTCAGTTATATGGCCTTTTGTATTAGACCAGATTACGTTTTCAGATGTCTTGGTCTATTTTCATATGTGCTGAAGAATTTATCCATGTGAATGCGCAGTAGCTTCTCATACAGGATCAAGGCATTTTCTTTGATAAGGCAACATATTGTGGTGCTTTCTGTAACTAGGAGCATTGAATCAATGGGTGTTGATTTTATCCCTCCAGTAATTAGTCGAAATGCTTGGTTGTGTGCCTTCTCGAGTGGTTGGAGAGTCACCTCTGTGGCTGTAGTGAGTGGCTCACAGCAATACAACATTATTGGCTGAATAAACATCTTGTAAGTGGTGTTTAGAGTTGAGCGCGCACAGCCCCATACGCTACCAGCAAGACGCTTCAGGACATTTAGTC